CCTCCCAGAGAGCTAGGATTACAGGCGTGAGCCACCACGCCTGGCCTTAACTCAACCAGTCTTTACAACCATTTTATGACATGGAGTTTTACCTCCTCCAATTTCATTTATTCAGTTTCATCGCCTTTAACTTTCCCCAGGTTAGGTTATAAACCCAGGTCGATCAGCTTTCAAATCCTATGCTCCTCTCACTATATTAGATAAATACTACATAAAATAAATGTAATTTTGAAAATAATGAAGGACAAAGCTAAAATTATAGTCAAGTAAGGCTATTCAACACAGAGTAATTATACTCAAAATGCATAAGCATTATATCTGAAATATACTATGAATAAATATTTGTTAAGTAATGAATAAATGAACAGTGAAGGCTCTTTTTCTCCAAATATTTAAGACTAAACAGCTATGCCAAAAGTCTTCTCATAGTTAATACCATGATTAGATTCATTTTAAGACGAATTCTTTCAAATCTTATGGTGAATATAGGTACAGTGGACAGCATAAATCCATGATATTTAAAATAATGTAAATCTACATATATAAGTAATTCTGAGTTGGGAAGAAACAAATTGACCTTTACTGTAAAATACCTCTTTATTACAGATTCTGACAAATCACAGGAAAATAACATCTGTCTCCACAGTATACTAACTACATGCAGTGACAGAATAGAAACCTAGATCACTTACTGGCCTCGTCACTCGACAATGGCATTTAGAGAAAGAAACCTGAGGTTCTGTAACATAGACAAGTATGCACACAGAACTATACAGTCACTATCTGTGAAACACAAAGTCTAGGAGAAAGTCTAGGAGAAGCAGAAAGATAAAAATCGAAGACTCCTAAACTAAGCCACAAACCATAACAATGCTCTTTCCGTTTCATATTCCAATGGCTACAAATATTTTGTAAGTCTTGCACCAATGAGTTGGCCCCCAAACAAGTCTTAATCAGAAAGCACCATGAGAGGACAATACTTACAAAGCTTTTGAGATGCAAGTTGTATTGATTGACCCCACAGCTTTCCATCTTTATTTTTGAGACTGTCACTGATGAAACGAACTGCAGGTATGGCTTTGTGCTGGGCATGTTTTAGTAGTTTCCCTGCCTTCATACGATCTAGCTCTTGTATAACAACCCAGGGAATTAGTAATACAAGTTTGTCAAAACCTAAAAAATAAAAAGATTTCTTAGAATTCAACATTTATTGAGCTACTAAATCAAACTGCTATAGAACTGGTGAACATTTTAAAGCACATAATCCCTACTTTTAAGAAATTCACAATTTATTTGTTAAATGGTAAGACAATACACAAAAAATGGAACTCGAAAGAATGTTAAAAAAATAAATATTGCCAGAGACAAAAAAGAGGGAGTCTGGACTGCTAGGTTAACCTGTGAAGGCTCTTTTTTAAACTTAAATT